TCTCCCAATGTGGCAGCCAGCTGTTAGATCACAGCTGCAGCAGGAAGTAGAACGTGGGTTCACGTAGCGCCCTACAATGATCACATGTCAACAGCAGGATGCATGAAGTGTTGTTGTGAATATGAAGAACCAGGGGCCACAATCTGAGGATATTGAAGGCATGTTTACCGCATTATTGGAACAATTGAGTTACTACAACTGTTAGAAGGAAATGCTTGACATCGACCGTCATGTATACCAGTTTTTCTTTGATTAGAAAAATGTACTAATCCAAGGCTCAAAGCCGCGATATGATCCGAAATGTGAGTTTTGTGATGTGTTGTCCCCGTAATTCCCAGCGCTGCAGCTCCATCTTGATAGAGGCCTCTCTGAAAGCCAGGCGTGTTCCCCTCACTGTCCAGATCTTTATCGGTGTAATTGCCTTGCAGTCGGGGAGGATTTGGCAGTAGCTCTGCGTGCCACCCACTCCAAGACAGGAGGACTCAGGAGGGCCCTTTAGCTTCGATGCCAAGAGAGATGTCAAACTCGACCTGCATTCGAATGTTGTCTCTCAGGAGGAACACTGGGAGGTTTTAAGAGGACACTGCCGGTGTGTTGACATGTGGTCACACACAGGTCCAGGTACTACCTCTTCACAACCAAAGATCAAGTGTCCCGACAATGATGTGAGATTATTAGAGTCTCATGTCTGTGTTTTTCATCAAATACGGATGAAATATAATCTTATTGGGAAAATAAGTTTGACTAAAATGACAAATTATTGGTTTTGGCTAGACTAGTTTGACTATATATTAGGGCTGTCAAACGATTACAATGTTTAATCAGATTAATCACAGCTTAAACATTTATTAATCAGATTAATCACCGTTCGAACTATGTCCAAAATATGCCATTTATGTATATTGTTGGGAATGGAAAGATAAATGAAAGAAAGCGGATATATCCATTTAACACAGTATCTATGTTTATTATAACATTGTTCTGCGTGTCAAAATGAAAGACAGCCCACACACCTATCACTCATCAAACCGTGGTGGTCTTAATTCATTACGTGTTGATTTCTATCAAGGGGGCAGTACTTCAGGAAAGTCGACAGAGGGGGCGGCGGCTAGTGGAAAGTACTTCTTCCACAGAGTGTGAACGTCTGTGATCAGCTGTTTTATAGCGCAGTGCTCCAGTGAAGGGGGGGAGTCTCCCTCCGCAGCCGGTTAGCGTAGTTTTGGCACAAGTCCGTTGTACAGACCGACGTTAACAGCAGCCCTTGTATGTGCACACGGAGACCGACTCTGTCGTCCGGTGATCAACCGCCTTCTGGAAAAGCTTCACAAGTACGTCGGTACGCAATGCGCTTTGTGGACACAAGTGACGGTACGCATTTCAGATTACGCACATAACCTGCGTACAGTTATGTGCACCCCTGTACTACAGCAAAAATATTTCTCGTCGGGACTTCCTGCAACAACACCACGCCGTTATCTTAATTCTGATTGGCCAGAAGACATTATCAAAGATGTTCTATTGAGAAGACGATCACTACGTGACAAAAGTTCTCAAAACCGTGGCGACTGAAATCAATCTTACTAACTGCTGTCTGTGCAATTTACTCCGCGCGAGTTGGCAGACTTATTTTTGCTCCTTTAACAATCATTTTTCATAGGTGGGGCTAAGCCATTTCTTGGTATGGGTGTAGCCTACCCCCAGCCATACCCTGGCGCTGCCACTGGTGGCACGTATTCTTTCACACACAGTGACGTCACGAGCTACCCACAATGCAACGCGCGCCCTATATCTATATAGACAATACGCCATTTTCCTGGAGGTCTTAATATCCTGGAGGTGCAAATATAAACAGCTAGGTAATATTGCCAGGCAGAGCGCACTAGGTTTTTTTTCTGAATTAACGACCGAAGAATCGCCTGCATGTCTTCGGATTACATCTCTGGACTTGAGGGTGTGCTCTAGGTCGTTACCAGCGTAAACTAGAGCTGTGTGGGTTGCCTTACAGACTGCCTGCAGATGTATGGAGAAACGACTCTCGAAAGTGGCCTTCGGTCGATTTTGGCAGCATCTACGTCTATCTTCTAGAAACACCAGGTGAATACCCCACTTGTCACAATAATATATCATGCCAATGCATATATGTGGTATTTTAGAGTTGACTAGATATTGATTAAGGCAATAGACTATGATATTCTGCTTGCACCTCGCGTGAAATGGTGGAAAGTACGGTGTCGCCCTCGGCCCAAAACCCGTATGTGTGTGTGAAAGAATGGGGCGGGCCATTCTGCCACATGCGTTAAATATTTTAACGCAATTAATTTTAAAAAAGAATTACCGCCGTTAATGTGATAATTTTGACAGCACTACTATATATATAATCTGATGACTAATGTCAACAGTTTTCATTGACAAAGTAGACTAAATAGTTAGTTTTCTTTGACTAAAATACTCTAAAACTTGACTAAATAAAAACAGGATGAAGGTGACACAATATGACTAAAACTAGGATATTTGACACAGGACTAAATCAAAAATAGCTGACAAACATTAACCACTACTGACAACAATGTGAGATTAGAGTCTCCTCTCCAGTTTGGACAATGGGACAAATCAGAGAAGGCAGTGTATTATACGTGTGTATATGTTTGTTTCATCTTTATGTGTACCATTACCATCCACTCTGCTGTATAACATGGTGCAATATCATTATTATTAATTATTATCTCCCTTACCTTACCTACTGGCTAATGTAAAAAAATATCTCACACCCGAAACTAGATAGACACGACACAAGATGTTGCACGTACTGTGAAAGGAAGTGGCATGGTGGTTTTTGTTAGCGGTTGGCTCTTGAAGGAAAAGCACTAAAACACGGAGATAAAGACGTTTCTGAGTCATCGCCAGAGCTGGCTGAATTACTTGATTCTGATCACTTCAAAGGACGCTCATATCTATGATTATCATTCAACTCGAGGTTTAAAAGAGAAAAAGCTTCAAAGGCAGCTTCGACATCTAGATAAAGATAGCAGAGCAAGCAGCTGTCATTAATATTAGATCCATTTAAAATGTGACTTTGTTCAACTCGATCAGCCTGATCTCATTTTGCGTGTAATGCCACCACATTCCTGCTGCTGAACGCTGCGGAAAACAAGTCCAAGGATGTCAGAAAAACCAACACCTCGCTGCCTCTTCTGGGCTCATCATGTGAAAGCTGGCCAATAAAAGGGTCGTGCAGCGTGAACGGAGGCCTTATTTGAATGATGTCCAAGGATGCGGTCGAGTCCTCTAAAGCAGTGGTTCTCAAACTTTTTTCAATAATGTACCCCCTTTGAAAAAAAGTTCAGCCACGTACCCCCTGATCAGCGCAAAACGATTTGTTAGGGACAAAAAGGCCTATATAAGAGGGTACAGCACAGCCGTGCACCATCAGTGTCTGATTTATTAAAACAACAACTTTGTAACTGAGAAACACTTAAATGCTACATTTCAAATGTTTACAATCCATCACTAAATTCATGGCCAATCAATTTTAACATCATGCAATAACACTAAGACGACATTAGCGGAATTGAACTGATCTTTTTAATAAGTTGTACTTAATGTAGTGAAACATGGGCTTGAGCTTCACTGAGGACCTTTGTCATTCTGACAGCGAGGCACCTGCAGTTATTACACTTCGTGTTTTGAAATATGTGTAACTCTGTTAATATAAAACCCACACTGCTCAAACTTCATTACTTTTCCTAACATTGGTATTTATTTATTTTGGGGCGTGGGGAATGAAGAGAAAAAGATATATGAGCATTTTTTGCGCATGGATTTTGACCCCTCATATAAACATGTGCATAATGCTGCGCTAAACTTTGCGGCCACACGCCGTTGCCAAGCAACGCTTATTGTTTAGGTCCTTTGATAAGCAGGCAGACATATCATTAACTAGAACTAGCTAGATCTGATAGATTTGGACATAAACGCGAGTGAAGTCTAACCGGACGAGAGAGAGGGATCAGATCAGCTGCTGCTGACGGAGAACACGCAACTCTTCCGGATCACAGCTCCCCCGCTGTGACGGACCGTTGAGCGGAGCAAAATACACTAAGAGTTAGACCTAAACACACTTAGCTAGTTTATCTACTCTGGAATAAGCTAAACTAGCTATAAATATATGTATTCTTTACTGTCGGGTCACTTATTACAGGTTCAGCGAGCTGCACGAGACTGACGGGCTGTCAGGAGAGGGAGAGGAAAAGAGAGCACCCCGTTTACTTTCCCCATTTTATTATCCAGAGTTTCTGTAAACCTTTGAATTAAGTAGTTACTATTAGTGTAGAGGAAACTTCTGTGTAGCTATGCAATGGGAGTCACCGACTCAGGAAGGAGACACGGTAGGAGCAGTAGCTTTGATGTCAAACACTGATGGTTTATTTGGAGTTACGGCCGGAGGATTCACATCACAAGTCCAAGAGCCAGAGGTTCTGACTTCACGGTAGAGTTGCCACGTCAATTCTGGAGAGCCTCTCTCTTGCCAGCCCATCTAACTGGTTCCACAGAGAGTCATCAACATGTTTTGATAAGATAGCTTTAGATAGTTTGGGCACACTAAGTTACCAGCTTCCGCCACTTATGGCCTTGGATATGTCATGCCCTGGAGTCCTCAGACAACAGAGAACGAAGTGTCCCAGTGTACCCACAACACAGACCATCTGTGACCCAGTATTGACCGGTCACAGAATGGGAACAATAACATTATTGGCTGAAGCAGCCTGTGTCCTTAAAGGAGGTAAACAGACGTCAAGGTTTGTCCTGTATGTCACATCTTGGCGTCTATGATAATTATTTCCCTAACAATTAGTAGTTTGTTTAAATGCATTACTTATGTTGTTTTTTTCATTAACATAAAATAAATCTCACGTACCCCCTGCAGTACTGCAACGTACCCCTAGGGGTCCGCGTACCCCTATTTGAAAACCACTGCTCTAAAGTGCCAGGTGTGCACGGTGCAATGCTGCCAGAGTTTAGCTGGTCGTAAGCCTCGGGAATGTCGTTCCTTTTGGAAAAACACGAGTGATAGAAAACAGCCTTAACTTTGATACATAACAGGGTTTCTCTGGAAGGGGAAACTGGATGAACCTTGCCCGTACATGAGTCACAGTTCTTGCGAAAAATAACTTTATGGAGCCAAGTGACTCTTACTTTCTTGTTTTTAAAAGCAAAAATGAAACACATACCTGCCACGTTAACTTTTTCTGAGTTAGTGGCGCTGGGTACGATGGTGCCGGTGCCGGTGGTCAGGTTGCTCCCCGTGCTGTTGTAGATGTTTTCCACCTTGGACTCCAGCTTACCGAGCCTCAGCATGATGTTATCCAGCAGCACTGCAAGGGTCTTCTTCAGATCTGTAATACAGTAAGAATGGAATAAATCAAACGCATGGAGTTATTTAAGATATATTCCATTACAGACTCTAACCTAAATGTGTGTGAAAATCAAGTAGATCATCTATTTGGCTGTCAAGAATATGATCTTTAGCTTCGTCAAATCAACAGGAAGAAATGCCACCGCTACTGTGTGCAATGCTGCCTGATTCTTACATTGTACGCAGATTTTAAAATACTTATGTAAGCAAGCGACTGTTACAGTTAAGAAGCAGTCAACATCAGGCAAGAAAAGCTAGCGTTAGCAGCTACTTCTGCCCTGTTTCTCTCCAAGTTAAAAAGCACTACAGTAAATACATGCATGTGATGTATCCGCCTGAAGTCTGGGGAACGTTGCTCTGCTGCAGTGTGGACTTATTATCTCGCACTACTACATGTCTTTCTCAGCCTGAGGACTATTTAAATGTGAAACTGGAGCCACTGCGACTTTTGGTCTTTGCATGTCTGTGCCAGGGGGCATTTATCTGCATAGCACACAGCTAACGGCAGGACGCTGACCGGTAATGAGACACAAAGGGCATATGTTTAAAATGCAAATCCATGGCTTTTTTCATGTGGTATTTGTCCAATTGCACAGCAGCAATTTCAAATTTCAAATGTGCTGCATACAGTTCAACAACACATATTATGTCTGCAGCAGAGCGCTCTGTCATCATCATTACAGTGTATTATATAATCGGTTTTATAAGAGACCCAGAGTGCTTTCATCACACCGTGATAATTGAAGCTTGTCTATCGCATACGAGCGCCACATTTCCCCTCGCCGTGATGCATTTGACACGCCAGTTTTCATCACGTCAGAGAGATTGGCAAGGGCACAACGAGAGCTGGCACAACGAGGCGTACCGATTCTTGTGAGGAGAAATGCCAGGGCATTTTTGTCTGATTTGGACGAGGAACGCAGAGCGGCGAGAGACCGGGAAGAATCCAAAGCTTTTGGAGCGCCGGCATTGCCAAGCTATTGGTCTGAACATAATTAGAAAGAAGGGGTGAGCCCAGAGTTAATACCCCCCTCTGTTTACCTCTGGCTCATAGGTCTTCAGGCTGAACATCAGAAGCCAGGCCTGTTTAATATCTGAGCTAATGCTTTACGATAGGAGTAAACAAGTGGCTTTGTTTCTTTCTTGAAATTGGATTTACAATCAAGAGCAGCAGCGTGGAGAGATATAAGAACCTGAACGAGAGTAAACAACAAGATTTTATATACGATTGAAATGGTCCAAGATTTGTTTTGTTGGTACCCATTGATTTCTGGGAATTCTGGATAAGGCAACGTTTTAGGAGATACCAAGATACGTCTACAAATTGTCCGTCTGATATAAGGGAAGTTTTACATTTGAGGAATATAAAAACCTCCTGAATAACATATAATCAAATTAGGAAAAGTATTTGTCCTCCCATATTTATTTAGTTTTAGTTTATCTAACAGTACCTCCATTTCACTACGGCTGAATTCTTTTGGGGGGGCTTTTATAAGGTGTTTACGGGGCGTTGCAATAAAAAAAATTGGCTGCAAGACAGAGGAGCAGATTTTGGTGGTGAAAAGCGCCTGGTGCATCTGGAGTTAACTTCTTAGTGTAAGTGTCCACAGGTTTTCCACTTATTAAATGTGCGGTTTTGAGTCAGAGATGTTCATTAGCCAGTGTGTTAGAAAGGATGAATAATGCTACCTTTTTAAACACCGCTGCCAGGTCACCAGATGAGTAATCGCACACATTTCTGCCTGTCTCAATATTTCTTAACCCCCTTTGAAAACAAGTCCTGCAGCGATAACACGTTTGATTTTAATAATGGTGTCATAAGATAATAATCTGCATGCGCCATGACCTGGGATTTCTCATTTAGCCCGTGAACAAAGGCTCAAGGCGTTCATCAGCGATTCCCATTATTCATTGTGTTGTTTTTCTAACCCTGCTAGAGGTCCCTATCTCTCATATCTGACGACGTCATGGGACAAAGAGCCTCGCAGCCCACACACACACACACACACACACACACACACACACACACACACACACACACACACACACACACACACAACAACCACACACACACACACACACACACACACACACACACAACACACACACACACACACACACCACACACACACACACACACACACACACACACACACACACCACACACACACACACACACACACACACACACACACCCACACACACACACACACACACACACACACACACACACACACACACACACACACACACACCACACACCACACCACAATAAAGTTGACTTTTGACTTGTGTGCGAGCCACAAGATAAATCCGCAGTAGCTTCAGAGCGGTAACGAGACACAATGTCAGCAAGTGGCTCGTCACGCCCGGATGCTCGGCTTAGTTTCAGGAGGAGGGGAAAGGGAAAGATCGTATTCGTGTCAAGTGACGTCTGACTGTAAAGTGACGGCGCCTCAACGCAGGCTTAGATATATGTCGACCGCTGGAAGAGATATCCAATCCCAGACCAAAGTGCTGTACAGAGAGATAAGCTCACACAACATAATATAAATACATTTAAAATACAACATACAAACCAGAATAAACGTAATAATTAACAAATAAATAACAGCCATATAATAAAAACAATAGACCACTGAAAGCAAATAAAAGCAACAATCTACTTGTTTCTGAATGCTAGGGAGAAGAGGTGGGTCAAAATATCAAATAGTGCTGTTGCGCTGTTTTGGAATTTAAACACTTTTCATTCCTTGTTTTAAAGGTGGGGTCGGTAAGTTTCAGAAACCGGCTCGAGTGCACTAACATTTGAAAGTACACAGCCGAAAAGAATCCGCCCCTTCCTTCAGACTTCCTTACAGAGCAGTTGTTGCTGACGAGTCATTGAAGTACTGCTGCAATGACTCGCCCAATGACGGCACGCCCAATGAGGGCACGAGATACATTTGTGCGTGCACGAGATGGAAGGCTGACAGACAGAGCGGCATTCCAATCCGTTTAGCCGGCACGGCTTGTACTTTTTACAGTATTACGGGTTCTTCCACAGATGAGGTTTTTTTATGGATTTTTGTCAAAGCTCTTTAGATATTCATTGCTATCGGGATGTTAAGAGCATTCCATGGAATATAACAACAAGTGTATCTCGAGCCGGTTTCTGAAACGTACCTACCCCACCTTTAAAGCAAGCGACGGGCGAATAATGAACAGGTCAGCAGTGCAAACAGTTTTTAAATGAGTAAATGTTTAATAAAAGGAAATAAAACAACATTTTTTGGTGTGGGTTTTTTGAGAGGTTTAGAAAATAAATGAGTCAACCTTTCTCCTCGTGGGTTTCACTATGTTTGTCCTACATGTTTTCCTATTGTATCACCTTGTAACGGCTGAAAATAAGCACACAGGATTACAATCACGACTAAGACATGCTATTAGTCATGCTTAAACTAAATTCAGTAGATTAGCTCTAGCAAAACAATAGGTTGCCTCTGGAGCCTTAACAACATATCTTTTGAACCCTGAGCCGAAGCCATCATTAGATATCATAAGATGAAATATGTTTAAAGGTCCCATGTCATGGCCATTTCCACTGATCATAATTCCATTGTTGAGGTCTACTAGAATAGATTTATACTGTGCAATATTCAGCAGTATTCACTCTCTCCACTAAACGGCTCGTTGCGGCTCGTTGCAGCTCTTGCCCCCCCCCCCCCCCCTCCCTGTGAGTCCAGTGTGCTCCGATTGGTCGGGACCAGTCGGGACGTTGTGAATCGCGCTGAGCTCCGTGGAGGTGTGATTTCTTTGTTTAGCGATACACAGCGAAACACAGCCAAACTCACCCTGAGCACACACAAAGTCACAGCCGAAGTAAAAACAATAAGTGTGGCTTGATATTGAGTAAGAAAAAGGTTGATAAACGCTGTGAGAACGGGTCTGCAGAGAGAACGGGTCTGCAGAGAGAATGGGTCTGCAGAGAGAATGGGTCTGCAGAGAGAATGGGTCTGCAGAGAGAATGGGTCTGCAGAGAGAATGGGTCTGCAGAGAGAACGGGTCTGCAGAGAGAACGGGTCTGCAGAGAGAACGGGTCTGTAGAGAGAATGGGTCTGCAGAGAGAATGGGTCTGCAGAGAGAACGGGTCTGCAGAGAGAACGGGTCTGCAGAGAGAGGGTCTGTAGAGAGAATGGGTCTGCAGAGAGAATGGGTCTGCAGAGAGAACGGGTCTGTAGCAGAGAACGGGTCTGTAGAGAGAGATGGGTCCATGCAGAGAGAACGGGTAGGTTATGTACAGAGAGAATTGGGTCTGTAGAGAGAATGGGTCTGGTATGAGAAGAGAATGGGTCTGTAGGAGAGCATGGGTCGCAGAGCGAATGGGTCTGCAGAGAGAACGGGGCTGCAGAGAGGAATGGGTCTGTAGAGAGAATGGGTCTGCAGAGTGAGAACGGGGTCTGTAGAGAGACGTGGTCTTCTGTAGTGTAGAGAAGAATGGGTCTGCAGAGACGAATGGGTCGCAGGTGAGAACGGGGTCTGTAGAGAGAACGGGTCTGGTCGTAGAGAGAATGTGGTCTGCCGAGAGAATGGGTCTGTAGAGAGGAGGAGAATGGGTCTGCAGAGAGAAATGGGTCAGCAGAGAGAATGGGTCAGCAGAGAGAACGGGTCTGCAGAGAGAATGGGTCTGTAGAGAGAATGGGTCTGCAGAGAGAATGGGTCTGCAGTGAGAACGGGTCTGTAGAGAGAATGGGTCAGCAGAGAGAACGGGTCTGCAGAGAGAATGGGTCTGCAGTGAGAACGGGTCTGTAGAGAGAATGGGTCTGTAGAGAGAATGGGTCTGCAGAGAGAAGGGTCTGTAGAGAGAATGGGTCTGCAGAGAGAATGGGGTCTGCAGAGAGAATGGGTGTCTGTAGAGAGAATGGGTCTGTAGAGAGAATGGGTCTGCAGAGAGAATGGGTCTGTAGAGAGAACGGGTCTGCAGAGAGAATGGGTCTGTAG